CTTTTTCCCCAGCTCAGCGCTGAAATCGTCGTGGAAAAACACCCTGTGTCCGCGAAAGAGCAATTCCCGCTGTTGCCTACTGAATCTGAGGATGCGATGCTTGTCCTGGAAAAAGTGAAAAAGAACCAAAAACACTCTGGGTTTGGTCTTTTTGGCCCTTGCATCGTTGGTTGGGTTGGGTCCGACTCGGTGTGCACGAGAAAGAACAAGAGGACTCGTGAAGAAGTCCTTCCCCATTACTTCCTCAAAAAAATCAGTCATAAATTTAATCGGGTCTGATCCTTCCAACTTTTCAGGGATGCCCACCACTCTCATGTTAGAACTCCGTGATCGATTTTCGAGATCATCCAGCTTTTCCTTAAGAAACATGTTCTCTTTCCGTAGCACGTCCATTGAAACCTCGACATTCGCCAGCTTGTCACTGTAGTCATTTAGTCCATCTTCAACCTCACGAAGTCGTTCGTCATGAGCTTCGTAATATGATTTCACTTGTTCCAATGTCGCGTTCACAGGTGAAAGTGCACCAGCCAGTTCTGTTTTTAAAAGTGAGTGAACTACTTGTGTCATGTCGGAAAGGAGCGCTGACCGGAGTTTTTCGAGATCTTCAGGTAAAGCCGTTAGGCCCTCAGAGGGTGGTGATATTTTGTCGGCCTTGCTCGAAGAAGCTTCGCCGTCTCTGTCACCAGTTTTATTCCGAAGTTGCTTTCTATTCACCATTTTTGTTCCACCGTGACTTCACGTAATATCAGCTACGAGATAATCGATTGAATTTAATATATATCGAAAAAATAACAACCAAATGACCAAAAGAGGTCGGGAGCTACACTCGCGTGCGTCTACTCACGCCATGTTTAACCCGGAAGTCCTTTCATTTATGGTTTACGAACCTTTATTCAGATCTGGACTCGGGAGCACGAATCGTTTGATTCAGATCCAAACTTCAGAGTAGGTTTGTGAATCATTTCCAGAATTGAATGAATCACGATCCACGGTCCGACGTCCTGATCTGAAATGATGGTTCGCAAATCATTATTCAGATTGGTACTTCGGAGTGGGTTCGTGAATCGTTTGATTCAGATCAGAACTTCGGAGTGCAGATTGCATCTTATTTCTTTTTTTTTCTTTTTTATTAAATGGTATTAAACATGTTTTGGTGTAAGGGATGTGTTGCCTGGTTAGCATTAACACAAAAATAAACATTTACACCTTAAGAGGACACATGGGCTGAATAGGCATACTGCGGTAGTAAAGTTTGGTGTTTGTGTGCAGATATCTACATCTGTTTGCTGTCCTTCGCTCATAACGTGGCGGCGGAAGGCAAGTACATGGCCGTGGTCAGCACGATGGTGGAAACCTGCAACCCGGAGAAGGAGGTCCAGCCCGGTCTGGCCCTGCTGGAGCCCATCATGGAGAAGTGAGCAGCAAACAGCTCAGCCGTGGCATGTTGTTCACGCGTGTCACTCACGGTTGGTTTGTCCTGCAGGTTTGTGAGCGTCAGTAACCTGATGGTCCCCACGGACGACGGCCGCAGGAGTCAGGTAACGAGCGCTCCGCTGCACCAACCACGACCAGCTAACGAATGCTGCTGATCGACTGTGTTTCTCATCTAGATCTTCGTCTCCCGCTCGTACGACCACACGCCGCACTTCCAGACCGAGACGGACGACATCTTGGATCTGTACCGACGCGTCACAGGCTCAGAGTTCATCTTCAGGGATCCCAGAGACGCCGACGCCGACTCTGACGACTGAACGAACGTCACAACACCAAACCCATGAGATCCTTCATGCATTCCAACACAAAACGCGGCTGCAGTGTTTCTCTTTTTTATCCGTAGATTAGCGTTTCTTTTTCTTTAGAGGTTTTATGGTGGTTGGCAAATCAGCTTAAATGGTGCATTTACCGCCACCAACTGGACAGGAGTGTGAAGCGTTGACTTGGAATAAAAAAAACAAACAACACTTTTCATACTAGCCTATATTCTGTTGAACAATCCTGTTAAAGGTATAGTTTACCCAAAAATGAAAATTGTGTCAGTAATTACTCACCGTCATGTCGTTCCAAACACGTAAGACCTTTTTGGAAAACAAATTAGGATATCTGATGAAATCCAAGGGCTCTCTGACCCTCCATAGACAGCAAGGATCCTTACACGATCAAGGTCCAGAAACGTAGCAAGGACATCAGTATAGAACAGCATACGTTGTTTACGTTCAGTGGATACTCCCCAAAATGGCGCTCCAGGGTGATGCGGAGGACACCAATTGTTGAATAAAGTCGTTATTTTTGTTTTCTTTGTGCACAAAAAGTATTTTCGTAGCTTCGTAAAATTACAGTTGAGCCCCTGATGCCACATGGGTTATTTGACCGCTCTCCTTGCTACTTTTCTGAGCCTTGAGGATCAGCGAACTCTCGGATTTCATCAAAAATATCTTAATTTGTGTTCTGAAGATGAACGGAGGTCTTACGGGTTTGGAACGACATGAGGGTGTGATTAATGACAGAATTTTTGGGTAAACTATCCCTTTAAACAGTGGGGTCCGGTGCCGTTCAGTGTTTTTCAGAAAAAAGTCATAGATGTTTTGAACGAGTAAATGACAACCGGATGAAGATTTCCAGCTGAATTATCTGTTTAAGGTTTAGTATTTCCCCCCGCAGTGGATTTTCTGGGACAGACGCATTAAAATCACATTTATGTCCGAGACTTCAGCCAGATCAGTTTATTCAAATCACTGCAGAACCAGAGCAACATTAAATGCAGAAACACATACGACTGATGTTCCTGGTGTTCGTTTGAGCAGTGGATGTGATCACCGGCGTTTGATGTTTTGCAGTGTTCACACTTCATATGTTCTCTGGCAGATATTGACGTTTTTCACCTACAGTATTAAAGCTATGTTCACCAATCTGATTTAAATGATTGACTGCGTATCGCAAATGTTCAGATCAGGTTGCGTGTCCCTCTTTTGTGTCACTGAATTTCCGCATTGGTTTCTATGAGAATGTGACACAGCGGTCAGACTGAGACGGATTTATAGAAATAGCATCTTAATGGATTACTAAAAATCATGTTTCATGTGATTTTATTTTTGCTGTTCACGCTTGCTAAATATGATCAGATTTGGACTGGCAGTCTTGTGGTGTTTGTGTGCTAGCTGATAATAGTGTGTATGTGGTGCTAATAAAGACGTGCACACGATGAGGAGTGTGTGTTTGTGTCTGATCACACATGAGCTCAGATTAACCCGTTATCACAGAGGACAGATTAACCGCCTCAATCTGGGACACACACACACACACACACACGTGTTAATACCTCTAATCTGTGTTTATTCACTCTATACACACACACTACATTAAGAGGTCATGTGACACACTGTAACGAGAAAGCGTGATTTCCCAGAGTTCTCTGCTGGCGTGACGCTGTTATCCGGCGACAGGAGGAGGGATCAGGCGTTAGGCTGTAAGGAGAAGCGGTCACACTGTCAACCTGCTGTAAGGAGTGTTTTATTCGAGACGAGTGCAGAGGCGGCGTTTACCGTGTCCTGAACCTCCACCGCGATGCCCTTCTTCTTCAGGAGGCGCAGCACGCTTGGATCCAGCTGTTACGTGCAAGCTCCCGTCCCCAGAACTTCTGTAAGACCAGCCGGTTATTATTCTGCATTACCACAACACCTCCTTATGGTCATTAATGAATAAAGTCTTGAAGAAAATTAATTGACTGGAAAATGCAGTTGAGCGCACTGCACATTTAGACAAAAGTACAGTAAATCATCTACGTATTCAGTGCATACTATAAACACACTACAGAAGCCGCAGTGTTAAATGTAGCGTTTACTGTAGCGTTTACTCACTGATGTGCGGCTCCAGCAGATAAAACAGAGACAAACTCTCCACCGTGATGTTAGTGTGACAGCCAACCTGCAACAGCACACACACACCCACACACTCACGGTCCACTGCAGGAGCGCTGGCGGCAGCACAGCGCAGGGTCCGAGCACCTGTTTCTGTGCTGTAGAGTGTCTCCGGTGCGGGGCCACAGGCTCGGTCCGGCCGATGATGAGCTACTCGAGAGGACCACCCGCTGATGTTGAATCCCCGGATAAATGGATGGATAAATAATGTTTTGTTTTTAACAAAACGTTGAATACTGATATTTGAAATAATTTAAAACATGAACAAAATTGTCGAAATGTGAAATTAAAACCACCAGTAGGTGGCAGCAAGTGACTGTTAATGAGTGAGTCATTGAGCTTAAACAGATTCATTCAAACGACTGATTCATTCAGAAACAAAGCATTTGACTCTGTTAATGAGTGAATCACTGAATCATTTATTCAACTGATTCGTTCAAAAAGCTGATTCATTCAATAAGTAAACACCGTCCATTGCTCAGAGATGCAAAACAGTGTGTGATCTTTGTTTGGAACTATTTTCGTTGGCAAAATTGAGCAAAAACAAGCAATATTATGTCTAAAATGTAAGTCACTTATTGTTTTACTGAACTTGTATAAAATGATTATTAAATGTGTTATGCTGATATCTGCAGAAAAACGGTACTCTTTGTGTGATATAGATTAAGTTAACTATATTAAATTATATAAACATAAAAAAGCATACAGAAGCATTTTTGCCGTCTACGATTTAGAATGCCATGAATTTTGAGTTTTAATAGACTAATAAATCAACGTGCGTGCACTGTGTGTGATTTGGTGATATAGCCTACTTGATAATGTCACATCGCACATCATTACAACAACACTTACCATATTATCGCAGATATACTGTATATCGCACACCCCAGACTCGACTTGAGTGGAAACTGAATCATCTGTGGTTGTGCGCGCACTTGTTTGCACGAGCAAAGGTGTTTTTAGGAGTTAAACGGCAGACCACTGATTCGTCAAACCTGCTTCCCTGCAGTCCGTGTGCTTCTGACTATTTTGTAGTAAGTAACGAATATGCTTCGGGGAAATGTATCGGAGTAAAAGTATACATTCTAATTAGGAAATGTAGTGGAGTAAAAGTTAACGTTGTCTGAAATATAAAAACTCAAGTAAAGTACAGATACTCCCAAAAAATACTTAAGTACTGTAACAAAGTATTATTACTTTGTTACAATACAGCACTGGAATTAATGATGTTTGATATTAGAACAGCATTTATCAAGGAAAATTGGAGACAAAAAATAAAAATATTAAGGAAAAATCAATCGAGGATATTTTTAATTTGTGTAAAAAGAAAAAGGAATCTTTGACTGATTGGGAGTTAGAAAAATTGGATTTATTGCAAATTGAATTAGATAAGATCTGAGGATAAAGCAAGAGGAGCATTTATTAGAACTACATTTAAATGGTTAGAAAAGGGGGGGAAATACTCAATATTTTTGCGGCCTCAAAAAAAAAGAAACAGATTTTGCCTCAATTTGCAAAATCTCAATAAAAATTATTAACAACAAATTAGTAGATAATTCCTCAGATATTTCGAAACATGTTGCTCAGTTTTTTAGTAATTTGTATTGTCCTGTATCAGCTACTTCCAACATTGATACTTTTATAAATAGCTTGCTGAGTGATGCCGAAAATATAGACCAGAACTTTCAGAATATTTGTGATAAAGAAACAGACATTGAAGAGTTGAGAGAGTGCATTAACTTATTAAAGAATAAGTTAACTGATGTTTAAAAACAACAGTGCAGCAGTAAGATTATAAGAGTGCTCTCTGTTCTGTGTCCTTACCTGCAGCAAGGTTTTTTTGGTAATATCTCGGGTTAAAGCATGGAAACTGCCAAACACGTTTTGTATCAACAACAAAATTAAGGAAGTGTCTTACAAAATACTGCATAGAACTGATCCCGCTAAGCATGTTTTGGAAAGGTTTAAGCTTAATATTTCGTATACCTGTGAATTTTGTGGTCATATTTATTTATTTTTATTACATTTAATGTATTGTACTTTCCAGAAAACAGTCGTAATGGGTTTTTAAAGCTGTTTTATGCGTGTTGACGTCACCAGCGCTTCGAAACAGAGACTCGTTATTCGAAGCAATTGACTCACTTGATTCGAAGCTTCAGAAAGGTTCGTTTCTCCATCACTAGTGCAACAATCATTACTGCATTACTGTAAGGGGTAGGAGTAGACGTTAATAAAACAATCTAATAGGTAGAAAATGAAATGTTATTGTTGGAGCTGTATCCCTTCTAGCCATCCTGCGCTGGAGGACAGTTTCAGCTTCATACCTGAATACGTTAATGATTAAATTCGCCGTTTATTAGATGAGAGACGGGCTACATCCCCGCCGCGTACCTCGAGAAAATACCGGTGAGATCTCTCATTAAATCTCTCCCTCCCTTCTCTCCAAGAACTGTACTCGTCCAGAGTGAGCAAA